CCCTAGATGAACGAATAGTCGGACATTAACAGCTAAACAAGGAAGTAAATAAATGAAATATATAAGTAAATAAGATAATCAGACACTGTTTTCAAAATTGCAGGAGCTATTGAAAATCAACATAAACAATGATTAAACAGGGAATAATTTTATATCAGAATTCCATCCATATCTTTATCAAAGTACTCTTGAACACTATAATACACCTGATCAATGAGAACTTGCTTTACAGACTTCCTAAACTGATAAGGTGATTGGATATCTTTGAAACTTGTCGGTAGATGGTTATATATTTTAGCNTGGTTGAACCAAATTTGCCTCGAAACAGGTTTGGTCATTTCTTGGTTGGGTTGATGTGGGTGGTTCGAACCGCTAGACCGGACGTACGATTTTTCACTTCCTATCGTCCAACCCGTGCTAGGAACCACACGTTAAAAGGTAGTTTTTATTTTGGTGGTTTTTCGTTCATATCGTTTCTGTGTTACCATCATGATCCAACTTGATATTTTTGTATGACATCAATCAAAATTTCAATGGTATACTATGAATTGATAAATGACACATTGCTATAGTGCATTTTTCGTTCATCCAGAGAACACCTGAACAAAATAGAGGACTATTTAATGCCGACTATGAAACAAAGAGGTAGTGACATATCTCTATGTGTTTATCGACAACCAAAACTGAGTTCAGAAGGATATGATAAATTAGTAGGTACAATGTACGAGGTTGGGGTAATGGGTATTCCAAAAAAATTCAAGAAGCCTTTGAGGTGGTAGGGTTTTCCAGACTTCATTTTTGGTCCATTTAGAGGACATTCTAAGAAAATAGGGCTTCAGGTAATCGTGGACCTTGACAGCAAAAAACGTAACCAAAAACAGAGGCATCAGATAACATCGTACTTGTTGACTGTTACAGAAAACCTAGTTCTAGTAGATACATGAACTACTGGTCAGTCAATGAAAGTCAACTTGGTCATACATATACCTAAATATAACATACATAAACACACAAATATCTTGAAATTTTTATTTTCAAAATTTAACGAAACCGACAACTTTTTACAATAAGTTATAACGTTATTGTACCAAAGTTAAAAATATCAAGATTTAATATTTTTTGGGATGAGTAGTTGGAAATAAATATTATTAACAAAAAATGAAAAATTAAAATTAAAAAATTCCAAACCAAGTTACGTCACGACGTTTCGATTGTTAGTACCCACAATCGTCTTCGGGTGATAACTGGATTATCACCCTGTATCCTGTACGGGGAATTGATTTTATGTCCCAGGAATCTTAAGAATCTGATTTGGATATTGAGTACGGAGTTTTAACAAGAGCCAGTCGATGACAACAATTGAAATTACAAATAACAAAAATTTGATCAATGACTTCATTGTTCGCCACACATATTCTGAAAGCCTCGTTCTGAATTTTCGTCGTCGTCTCGTGATAAAACGATATCTAATCATCTAAAAGAACAATTCGTTCAGGCCAGTCTCAACTCCCTACACTGTAGGTTAATGGACTGACACCTATCAGAAAACAACTACTCCCCTGGCTGCGTTGTCATTGGGCTCTAGTTTACAACTAGTTGCCTCGCGGTGAAAGCTGCAGTGTTAGACAAATAACGAATCTCGGGCTTGGGTTTGCAACTGACCGCCTTGAGGAGCCTCATTTATCTTTGATATTCGAAAATCGAATTCTCAGTTATTCAGATGGCGTTTTCGTAAGGGATGGCATCGCCCTCATTCGAAAATACGACTTGACCTTGAAATTTCGATTTCAGTCTCGAAATTTCGACATCTAAAGAACAATTTATTCAGGCCAGTCCCAACTCCCTACACCGTAGGTTAATAGACTGACACCTATCAGAAAACAACTACTCCCCTGGCTAATATCACGAAGGGCGTTGGAATATATCCAACAGGTGTCAGTGCAGGATTCTTCACTGAAGTTATTCCTGCATATGCTGTTGGCGATACAACTGCCGCAATAGATTTTCAATTATTGGAACACGCTTGCAGACCGGTTTTGGGCGATTTGGCCACTCGTCAGTGCAAGGTAGTGTCTATAATTAACATAAAGTCGATGATTTCCGATAATTGAAAATCGAATTCCTTCAGAGTATCATTCCTCGAACTAGGCTGAAGCTGACAACAACAGGTTTGTCATCGCCCCATCTGTCTGTGAACGAGGTAACCAACCGCATATCCGAAATTTGACCAATTCCTCGTATTAGAAAAGAAAACTTTTCACATATAGTCAGTGGGCATACTTGAAGACTGGCTATAAATCAAATCATCCAAAGAACAATTCGTTCAGGCCAGTCTCAACTCTCTGCTCTGCGTAGGTCAATGGACTGACACCTATCAGAAAGCAACTACTCCCCTGGCTAATACCACGAAGGGCGTTGAATTATATCCGACAGGTGATAGGTGTCAGTCCATTAACTTACAGTGTAGGGAGTTGACACTGGCCTGAACGAATTGTTCTTTTAGATGATTTGATTTATAGCCAGTCTTCAAGTATGCCCACTGACTAGATGTGAAAAACGGTATCTCCTGATATCAAGAAACCACACGTGTGGCGGATATTTTTCTCTCACAAGTGTTTTAGGTTTTTTTTTGGCGTCCGACTTATAATAAACGACCACATTGAAAACCTCCTCGACGGCTGATTAGATATTATCAATTCGAAATTGATGACAATCTCAATTCATCTTTCCATTTCAGTAGACTGATAATGTGTAATCGACACGAAGAAAACAATAAAACTGAATGGGTTCCGAGATTACTCTCTGAAATTATATCATCCAGTTGCGATTGATGGAATGCCAAGGTTTGTTTAACTTTAGATAATGGCATAAAAATTCAGACAATAAAATGCAATTCATGAAGCTGTTACATTTTTATTACGTAAGGGATATTATATTTTTAAGAATTGGCGTTGCAGAATATACATTTTCATTCTGCCAAAAGCAACTGTCTCAAAGTAAACTAAAAAGAAAAAGAAGAAGAAAAAGTCGCAGGGGGCAAATCTGGTGAATACGGTGGCTAAGGAACTAACTTCGCTGCCACACGCTTCATGCCCAAAATTTCCGAAAAAATTGCATGGCATGACCCAACCGATATGCCGACATCCTCAGCAACTTCTCTAATAGTGATTCGACGATTCTTCATAACAATTTTTTTCACTTCATCGGTTGTTGACTCGAGAGTACAATCATCCTATGCCACTGTCAACATTTGAAGTGTTTTGTGCACTTAATTCAGTTTTTCACACAAAATTTGATGCAAATTCTTTGATTCATTTTTTTGATATTGCAGAATATCGCCGAACGCGCAAAATATGTCCAACTTTTATGTCTCTCACCATAAACTAAACATGCTATAAGCAGTTGAAACTGTGAACATATGTTCGAGACGAGTGTACCAACATGAAAAAAAAATCGCTAATTGAATGTATGTACCCGACGAAATTCAAACATTCACCTTATTTTTCGACAGTCACGTATATCTTGTATGCATTGAATATATTTTTTAACCAATGGTCTCCGTGGGGGATATGCACTGAATCATTTTAAGTAAAAAATATAAGTCACTGCTTTTTCTCAAAATGAAAATTATTTTCCAAATCCTCTTTCCCCTCTGAGCAAACATCTTCCCTTGTTTTTTTTTGTTTAGCGTAGGGTTTTCACATAAATATTTGCCGTTGTTCTTGTCTATATTTAGTTATTTGTTCTAAGTATTTGTTACGCAATTCCACTATTCTTCTGCTTTCCATAACTGCTTGACGTTTATTATTTTAAATCTAAATCCTAGCAGCTCACGTTATGGCCAGAAGTATTCAATTTATTCCTTATGATTTCAGTTGTAGGAATCTCATTACTTTTGTAACAGTCGTATATGATTTTATTAGATGAACATCTAAAGATTTTGGTAATCCTGTATCATATCGCGTCTTGCGTTCATAAGGTTTGTTTTTTATCTATTTTACGTACAGATGAGAAATGAATTTCGGTCAAATCTGCTTGTAATAGTTTGTTTCCCTCGAAACCAAACTTGAGGTGTAGATTCTTATGTACTCTCTGTGTTTCAATATTCAAATACATCCGAATCTTATTCACTGGTATCACTGGTATAACTGATACTTGTCCAAGGACGCCGAAATTTTGAACAGATAACAAAAATTTTAAGTAATTACAATATCGAATTTCAACACTCAAATCGCTATCAGTTCTTGAACTGAACATTGATGCCACGACGGCGATAACCATCCTCGCATTTCCCGATTTCTATTCGCCCCGTAACATAACTTCAAATTTAATTTTATGACTCTTCAACCAATCATCCAATACGCCAAATTATCCAATACGAACCGCCAATTCTACAGTCCACGTGGACTAGTTCGCTGCCGGTTCATTTCTATGTAGTGGTTTTTTTGGCCTTCGAGAGTGCCGCCAACTCTAAGTGTGCACAATGTCGTTTACTTCGACTATGCTATTAAGGATTAAAAACTTATCTAATAGGCGAGAATCAGATTTTGTTTCGTGAACATAAACAGTTTTGACAGTTGTCTAGTTGTCGTGTCACACATTGAGACAAAAATACAAAACATAAATTGTTCAAAAATACCATTTTATAAAGGAATTACCAATTTATATTTGAAATATAATGTTTTTTTATTTTCTTCAAACTGTAAATTCCATAACTAAAGGAAGAGTTGACGTAGACGAGTTAAGTTTTCAGTATTGAATAAAACTATGAAAGACACTTTAGCACTTATTATACATTAACTGTATATGAGACCACTCAGATTCATTCATGTGTTAATTTCAATTCCATGAATTGCCAAGTCTCGATTTGTATTATTTGACTATTATATGATTATTTTCCAGATATCAAAACAACTTCGAATTAATATCAGAGTTGTATCAGAGTTTTTCTAAGGATATTTCTTGTGATTCTCAACTTCCACCATCTGAAAACATAAAAATTGTAATGGACAACTTTATGCAGGTGTTTAATCTTCATGGATAGTTTTATTGCATCTCGTATATCTATCTCCTCCAGTCTGCACCGTCAAGGTTAATATTTGTTCAGTTTTCGCGACATAATAATTTATTTATGTTTAGTCTAGCCCAAATCAATTGGAATAACGTGACCATGTTCATTTGTAAAATTGCGAAGATTGGAAAGAATTTGATTGATTCAAGTTAGTCAACTCCTTCAAGGATATTTCTTTAGTTTCTTTTTTGAAAGCGATATGGAAATAGTCGTTTATTTGAGAAGACAATAAAATAATCTGTTTATATCGCCGGTATCATTTCCTAAATATTTGCAAGGTAACTAAAATGATATGTTTATTTTTCTGGCTGTCAACGGATATATAAGATAAGTCATCACGTTTGGTTTATGGTTACCAGTGGCGGCCGGCGTTACTTTCTTTTGGGCATGATCTACAACAATACTTAAAATATCAGGTCCGAAATATTCTAACACAAATGGAAGAATAACCGGACTGTAATTTTTTGATATTTTAATCGCTATGACCTCTCCAACTATGATGGCATTCAGAAAAGAACCTGTTTGACATATAACTGATATTGCTACTCATATATTTTTTTCTGTTATATGCACGATCTCATCTTGGCTTAACGGCTTACCAGTTTTTCATTTGAAAATGTTGCATATTTTTCTTTTTGTTACGTATTTTGATAAAAAAACGCTTACAGAATCCTTGACAGAATCAGTACATTATTGGTTTATTTTATTTTTTTCAGTTTATTGACATTCCAAAATGCCAAGCATAATACACGAAGAAAACACCGCTTTCAGAAAAGCCACCTTTGGAATGGGATGTTTCTGGGCCAGTGACGCACTGTTTGGAGGTCAACAGGGAGTATTGAGAACGCGGGTAGGTTACTCTGGAGGAAAAACTTTGGACCCCGTTTACAGAAATTTGTGAGTATTTTTTTAATCATCTTTTTTAATGCCATGTGTTTTTGAAGTTGCATATCTCAATAAATATTTATTTTACTGTATCGTTGTATATACCAATCGATAGATAATTTTGTACTATACATTCATTCTGTTTATTATTTTTTCAAATTTATTTGTTTTGCCTCTTTTTAGCTGATCACTTCATGATGTCGTTAAGCGAATTTTGGCCAATTTCTCTCTACGATTTCACACTGAATCAAAACGCTGCCGAAACAGACCGAAAAGTTAACCACACGTTTGGCAATGATAGTGTTAATTGTATTCGATATTGGTTTGCGAAATTTCGTTCCGGAGAATTTAACCTTGAAGATGAGCCCCGAAGTAGTCGACATACAGTAATCCAGGACGAGAATTTAAGGACCGTGGTGGAGACTGACACATTACAAACGGTACCTGGAATGACAAAAGAACTGTGTGTCAACTCCCATGCGGTTTTTGATGGTGTAAAACCTATTGGAAACACAAAAAAGTTCGATAAGTGGGTGTCCCACGATTTGAACGATTGACAAAAATTGTCACGTTTCAAGATCTGTTCTTTGCTTTTGCGCAACCAAAGCGATCCTTGTTTTGCATCAGATTGTCACTTGTGATGAAATGTGGATCCTCTACGACAACAGGAGACGTTCACGTTCAGGTGTCCAGTGGTTAGACACCTATGAGCCACCCAGGCACTTCCCAAAAGGCGAAAACCCACAAAAAAAGACCACGATTACCAGGGATGGCACGGTTAAAACCAACCCGGTTAAAACCGGGGGTTGTAACCAGTTAAAACCACAATGAAAAATCCGTCGGTTATAACCTATTAATTTTCTCCGAATTCTTGAGAAAATTGAAGCAAGTCATCAAACATTTATTAAACCAAACATAGAAACATTCTTATAAAATGTAAAAAGAAATAATCATTCAACATATAAATATATAACTTTCATTGGTGACAATTGAAATATCTATTTGAAATAAGTGTTCTATTTGAAATAATAAAGTTATCTTTGTCCGAAATTATAAAAAAAGTGGCAATGTTGAGAAACGGGTTTCATCTAAATCAAAAGCCCAAAACCTCTCTTATGCTTGGTCATAATTTGAAGAGATGATTTCTATACATTTTGATGTTAATTGGTTTCCATACCTAGCATACCATATTATTATGTTTACTTATTTTTACACTCTCATAGGCATCTAGATGCCTGTTGTTAATTTGTCTGACTTAATTAACTAAATTCCATGAAATGTTTAGATTAGTTAGGGATTGAACTCCAGTTGTCATTAACTTGTCTAACTAATCTTAATGAACTAAAGTCTATGAAATGGTTAGATCAGTTAGAAGTTAAACTTCAGTAATATTCACAACTTTGATATGTCACACTATTTTGATTTCCTCTGTAGACTCCAAAATGATTTTATTCTGCAGCCTTGATCAAGATACATATAGGTAATGAAATAGAGAAATTGTTGAAAAAATATTGGTTTGGTTTACAGGGGCTGTGTCGTATAGGGTGGCCCACCCTGTATACATAAATATCAAAAACACAGTAGTTGACATAAATTATCATCATAAATTATTCTTCTCAAATCCATACTGAAGCTAAATGAATATTCTTCATTTTGTGAAAAGAACTCACTAACTAATTATACGGTAAAAAACTATAGTTCACTGGATAGTGGTATACTGACATCTATATACTTCACTGTTTGAATTTTGTTATTTTCTTAATGTAATATTCTGTATTAAATTTGAGAACAATATTTTTGAATAAACAATGAAAAAAACCTCTCAATATTGATGATTATCACAGGTCCTGATGCATGTTTATAAATTTATGGTTAGCAAGAGTTTTGAATTTTTATGCAATTGGATGCATTTTTTAAATAAAGATGACTTATTTCAAGATTTTTCATAAATATGCACTATTGCATAATATACACTCGTATCAGAACTGAGACGTATTTTGAAAAGTATTAGTTTTTTATATCGCAATTGGGGCTGCATTAAACGGATAATTGCCTTTCATACAACATATATACTGAGATTATTTTTAGCAAATCCACATGCTTTCGCTTTCTGGACGAGGTTCTATGCTATTTAAACATGGCGTTGAAACATTAGCATTGAATAGTTTCACGAAACGAGTTGATGAAATATTTGGTCTCAAGTCAAATTGAGATACTGCAAAAAATATCGGTTTAGTGGACGCACTAGCCGTAGAAAATTATATATCAACGTGCATTCTTCGCAATGAAAATAAGGGAAACATGTCCGTCATTACGAAAAATTACGTTTCGACCTTTTGCGGTAGGTTAATTTATGCTAGGTTCAAAGTGAGTGGGTCTATTCGACCCTCCACCGCAACCCGCAAGGGTTTATTGTGGCTCACACCTATTCACACTCGACCAAATAAATCCAGCTTCTTAACGAAGCCGATTAGTTTATATGGTGAGTGGTCTTTCAGGTCAGATGGTAAGAGTTCAGCTCTGCCTAACTCTTAAAACCTGATTCGGTGCCCAGCGGGACAGGAAAAAAGTATATGCTATGCTGTTTCATCATTTCCAAACAGAGGCAACACACACTGTCTTCTGACAGTCCGAGTCTCTGCGTATGATGATTCAAATGACAGTGACCAGTAAGAAGGCCTGTTAAACATCGTAGTTCGTCCATAGTGTAGTCCAACAACTGTTTGGTATCAAGCTTCGAAGGGTGAATAAACGCCTTGGAGTGAGCCAATCCTGGAAGATTCTGCCAGAAGTCCATAAATCTTCTTGCCATCCAGGTGTTCAATGTTTGTTTGCCAATGACAGGTTCTGGTCCGATGAAGCTGCTTGCAGCACCCTCCTTTACAAGAGAGTCAGCAGCCCTCCAGGCCAGTATGACCAGAAATCCAGACCAGAGACAATCTGTTAAGTCTTCCTATCGGGGACCTTTTGAAGTAACTACATTTGTTAATTTCGACATCGACATGGCCACACCAAAGAAACGATGGGTAGGTGGTGATAGCTATGTTGGTTTAACCAAATTTGCCTCGAAACAGGTTTGGTGATTTCTTGGTTGGGTTGATGTGGGTGGTTCGAACCGCTAGACCGGACGTACGATTTTTCACTTCCTATCGTCCAACCCGTGCTAGGAACCACACGTTAAAAGGTAGTTTTTATTTTGGTGGTTTTTCGTTCATATCGTTTCTGTGTTACCATCATGATCCAACTTGATATTTTTGTATGACATCAATCAAAATTTCAGTGGTATACTATGAATTGATAAATGACACATTGCTTTGGTGCATTTTTCGTTCATCGAGAGAACACCTGAACAAAATAGAGGACTATTTAACGCCGATTATGAAACAAAGAGGTAGTGACATCTCTATGTGTTTATCGACAACCAAAACTGAGTTCAGAAGGATATGATAAATTAGTAGGTACAATGTACGAGGTTGGGGTAATGGGTATCCAAAAAAAATTCGAGAAGCCTTTGAGGTGGTAGGGTTTTCCAGACTTCATTTTTGGTCCATTTAGAGGACATTCCAAGAAAATAGGGCTTCAGGTAATCGTGGACCTTGGCAGCAAAAAACGTAACCAAAAACAGAGGCATCAGATAACATCGTACTTGTTGACTGTTACAGAAAACCTAGTTCTAGTAGATACATAAACTACTGGTCAGTCAATGAAAGTCAACTTGGTCAAGTTAATGAAACAACGTATAATCACAGATAATGAATAATAATGAACTTCAATCTGTCAATAGAATTTTCAATTCATTACCTTATATTGATGATATAGAAATTGAAAACACAACTACTTTTACAATCAGCTCACTTTTTTTCACATGCTGAGGATATAATTCCTTTGAAATTTTAACCAAAATTATATACCAGTATTCCTTGTTACAGTTGTAAAGCTGAATATATAGGTCAGGATAGAATATCTTCACATGGAAGTGATTTCAGACTACACAATGAGATATTTGCACTCAGTGAACATGTGTACAGGGAAGGTAATGCTTGGAATTTAATTCTGTCGAATTAAATACTGTTTCCTTTATATTCTTATACTAAGAAATAAAACTTCCATTTTTAGAAAATTATTTCCGTATCATATATCACACCTACAACTGTTAACTGACTTATTGCTTCAGCGGCCTAGGCCGAGTGGACAAATGACAACCGTTTTCTGTATCTAACCTTATATAATCAGTTTCGTTTTTTGACATGGTGGTGAACGGACGTGCCGATAGCGACCGTTCACAAAGAAGGTACGCGGACGCCATTGTTGGAGGTGGATCTCAGTTCGTGTTGTGTATGTCCGCCGTTATATAATGTGCAAGCAAAAGTTACAAAAGTTATAGTAAACATTGTTTTAGTGGTTTTAATTAAATAGTGCTCCCATTCACGCCGGTTGGAGGCCGGGGTGGACTGGATGTCCACGTGGGAGTGCTAAAGTGGAAGTGAAGTTTAAGGACCCCTTCATTCACGCCGGTATCCAGGCCGGGGTTCGGATAACCACGTAAAGGTGTCATATATGTGAATTCAAAAATCAGAAGGTCTCCCGAGAAGGAGGCGACCCAATAAATATACACGTAGTAAATCAAAATTTCTCCTGATTAGAAGGCGACATTTAAAAACACATTGCTTTTTTTTATTGTAAAAAGTGTGACAAAAAAGGGGTGGCAGCATTGCTTCGAGCAAGACAGCTGCGCCCCTCCCGACGAAGCTTCTGTCAAATTGATGTCAATTTGATAGATTATTCTCGAGACACCCAAACCGCAAGTTGAACGAAAGGAACTCGTTATTTATGAGTGTATTGGTGTCAATGTGAATCTCAACACTATTATTACACTGCAAAACATATCCTGCAATTGGAAATGGAATTCTTTGTTAATGATTTTCAAGGGTAGCGTTCTTTATGTTGATATGCGAATGATACATTCACAAAAGGAATAATTAATCGCGGAATTTCTTTATACAATGAAAGTTA